CACCCCACCCAAACGAGCCACTTCCAGCTCTGTCCCGCACCCCACCCCGGCTAGGTAGTACCTGTTGGTGCCCCTTTGCTTCAGCACCTGGGGTGTTTTCCCCCCTTGCCCCACCCCCCCTTTGCTATGGCACTGTTGCTAAAGGCTCTTTCCATTTGCAGATATTAGTAGCCCTTCTGTTCTGGGAGCTGCTCTACTTTGTACGGAAGGAGCACGTACACATTTGTACACATTCTCTCATGGAAGCTTTATTTTTGTTCTGTTATTCTCTTGTTATGAAGAAGTGAAAGGACTGACTTCTGGAAAAATGCAATAGTAACAACAACAACAACAACAAAAATCTAGTTACCTCACATAAAATTTATTCAAACACCTTTTATGTAGTTACCCTATTACTACTAATGTACCCAATGCATACTTCTCTTTGATTTCTTTACCGAAGATAGATGCTGAGAGAGACTATTAAACAGCAAGAATATTAGTAACACAATTAGACATAAATGCATTAGTGACAGTTTTAACAAGCATTTATAGTTAAGGCCAGCAGTGCTGACCAAATATGCTCATTAAACCACCATGCTCCACACTGTGCTTTATTTCAATTCCCAGTGACTTCCAGCATAAAAACAAGATTTTTGAAAATATTAGATCAGGCACTACAATGTTATCTAATGTAGATAGCACTGCATTGGAAAACTGCCTTCCTCCCTACGCTCAAAGCAACACACACATTTTTCTTAATACTTTTCTTGTCTTGCATGTCAGCATTCCTCTTTTTCATGCTGTATTAGTAGTATTGAATGCAGGTGACAACTTGCAGTTTCTCCAGTCTTGTTTTTTATTTAGGAAGTTGGTACCCAAGTACCTTTCCAAGATCACCCCATTGTCTTGAGGTGTTTTGATGGACAAGCAAAGTATTTCAGTCATGGCCTTGCTGGTACCTAGCTCTAATTAGCATATGCAGTTTCACTTGGAAGTCTGAAGTTGCTAGTAACTGTACTTTGCCACACAAAGTTCATGAGGATCAAAGATAAGTCTCTAAAAATGGAAGTCTAACAATTATATATACATTTTAAGACAAAGAAGTTAATTTCCTTTATAGAAGAGCTCCTAAAAGGACTGAAGACAGTGACTGAAACTGCTGTAAAGGCAAGAGGAACTAAAAAACATACCAGTATTGCAAAAGCTGGTTCTGCTCTGCTTCTCTTGAAAAGAACAGGTCTTTTGTCATTGGCCTCAATGTCAGCAGCAAGAAGTTTCTGTGAGCAGTGTAAAGGCCTAGCTTCCTTAAAGTTAACCTCCAAAGTCTTCCTATTCTCACTAATGTTGAAGAGTTGTAGTGGCTCAAGAGATATGGTCAGGCAATGCCTCTAAATCAGAAAACCACTGTTAAATATTTATCCTAGACTTCTCCCGTTTCCAAAAAAGAAAAAAAAATCAGAAGTTACAAATTTAACTAGAAAACCTGTTTCTTTGCTGAGAAAACAAGGTGTGTCAAAGATTAAAAGCAACATTAGCTGACATGTACCAACTCCCATCCTATGTGCCTGCTTACATCAACCAGTTCTAAAAGTTATTAGTGCTGTGGAAAGAGTACAGTATGTTGCTTTATAATATGCTTTCATTATTCATTGGCTCATTTCATACCCTAGCAGTGTTGTACAATTCATTAAGCATAGACAATCCAAACATGAAAAAGTTTAGAAAAATATTTTACACAAAATGTAATTCAAATAGCAACAGTGATTTAGTATTGACAGACTTGTGATTAAACTTGGTCACTCCATTTTGAAACTAAAAAAGCAGCAATAGCTTTTTGAACAGATATTTCACAAAGAAGTATGGAAGTTTTATGAAGGCTGTTTTTCTGATGAGATTTAACCATGCCATTGTATCTAAAATTAATTTAAATGAAGATATGAACTCCAAAAGCTACCAGTGCCTCATAAAAATAGTTCTCTTAAGAAAGATATCTTGGGTTATCTAATGCAACCCCTGCGTCAAGCATCAGGGACTCCACATTGCACTTTTTAAATCTTTACTACTATAAAATTTGCCATGGTACCTCATTAGAGAAACTCTCCCACTGTCTGGCTGTCCATACCATCAAAAGTATTTCCTAATTGCCAAGCTGAACTTGCCCTTTCTTAACTCAGATCCTTTGTTCCTTGTCAGAGTTATATATGCTTTTCTCCCTGGTTACAATTTAAGCCATTTCACTGTTTATATAGGGCCAGATGCACAAAAAACTATTAGCAACTTCCAGACAGCTGTAAGGCTAATGCATTCTAACCTTCAGTCCATCAGGAGAGCAGACAGGAGAAGTGAGAGGTGCAAAGTGAGTTACAAGTTATGTGGGTATCTGCTACAGATCTTCATCCATGCTTCCTTTGCATACCTTCTTCAGTCATTGCTGCTAGTAGTTCTGGTGCCACTCTAGTCCACACATGTACTTAATGACAGAGCACAGAAGGATATTAATGCCATTTCAAGGACTTAGGGAATGTCCACACCCCAAACATACCATGCTCAAAACACATTGCTCTCCTTCATTAGTTCCATTTTCCCACCTAGAAACAGCAAAGCTGCATTAGCACAGCAATGCAAACAGGCTAATTGTGCCTTTTAGTACAGTTCTTTCTGGCATGACCCACTGTAGCTTTTCCCATGATGTTGCTCCGGTTTGCACCGCACTGGACTCCACTGCATACAAGGAACCTATAGCCCGTAAATTGGGATTTTATGCTGCACTTCCAGGAAACAGTGCAGACAGGCATGGCCTGAGAGAAAGGAAGGGAGAGTGGCTTATGGGCACTTTTGTCCCTTAGGATTCTTGCAGATGGTAAACCAAAATGACCCCAACATAACTGAATCCATCTAAAAGCCAGTTTGTATTGCCTATGGGCATCTCTGAAAACCAAAACTGTCCAGAGGCTACCACAGTGTGCTGTACCTCAGTAGCCCCATGGCATGTCCACCAGTGTCATGCAAGGGGCATTTGAAGGATCACCTGTGGCAGTTTTTACAGTGTTAGTCCCAGAGGATTTCTCATGGCCAATTGGTAAGGGGGGCTGGGGCAAAGGGGTCCCTCCCTTAGTGTTTAAAGTATGATTCTACTCTAAAGAGTAACTTTCAAAATTTCTTCCTGAAGTTCCATATGTAGTATTTTAAATATACTACATGTCTCTCTAACTGCCAGACCTGATTCAACTTCATATATCACTACCACCAGTAATAAAGATTCTGCAAATCAAATTATACCCTTATCCCTTGAGAAAAGCCTTTGCCTTCTATGGCCACAAACGTA